CTTACAAGTACACTGTCCTTGGCCACGTTCAAGTGCAATAAACAAGAGTAAAACGCTTGGAACGCTTGGACTTGAGCTGCTTCCAACATGCATTAGCTGAGCCTGCCCCGTTATTTGTGTTTTTCCACTTGGTGCTATTACAATAACTTGTATTACACAGGAAATGGTTTCGATATTTTTCTCATATTTCCTTTTCTGTATTACATGTGTAGTGATAATCCCTGATGCTGGTGTTAAGCAGCCCATGCAGGCACATCCAACGGTACATAAAGTCTGTAACAGGTATAAGGACATTTATGTAGTTATTCAAAAATATTCCGTCACCAATTGACACTTAATCAGTGAACATTTAAAGTGACGATGGATTCTTTTACTTGTTCTAAGTGAATTTACATATTTCGGATCAAAACAATACAGATATGTTGTCTAATAATACAACATTCCGAGGAGGAGATTTATTTCATTATATGTATCATCAAATTGGTTGCTAAATAGCAGAGAAATAGCTATTACGTGCTAGTAAGACTGAATGATCATGTGATACCTATTAGACTGGCTAGTAAATATTGTCCACATTTGTATGGTAAATATAAACCATTTGTCATATCTGCACGGCAAAACACCATAATTGGTGAATATGGAAAAGGATGGAATCAGTTTAAGTTTAATAACTGACAGAAAAGAGAAAAGATAAAACTGTGTTCACACCGGGGATGTACATGTATATGGAGCGACTCAATTGATTTTTTCAGTGCAGGTGTGCAGTCAGAAGTGGTTAGGCTCTTCAAATTGAAACTGAAACACATTTGTCCTGTCTCTGCTCTTAACGTCAACTCCAGGGTACATAAGGGGGCAGTGACGGCGAAAAGACAAAGCTAAGAGGACACTAAATGTCTTAATAAGTTGAATCAGCATACATTTTTTTTAAATTTAGATTCTTAAAGAAAACCAGAAAGTAGAATAATTTTGTTCACCATCTCCCTTCGTGAATCTTTTAGCACAATGTTGTTTGTAAAAAAAATATTTGGAAACTCTAGAACATGTTAATAGTTTTTGCTACCACCTTGCACGGAGTGATCTTATTTATTTTATTTCAGTCCAAACTCTGATGGCTGTAACCTCGACACTATAATGCAGCCTTGCACCTTGAATAATCCTACCTCTAGGGATTTATTTATACACATTTGTCCCACCCCAGTTGAACCAGTTATGGGCCACTGCTTGTACATAGAAGTTCTCTATTTGTTATGCCAGCCTCTGATAGGTGCAACCTCGACGAGAAATTCGACCCCTCTGTCCTGCCTCTACAGGTCACGCCCACTGCTGGGTACATCACGTGACCAGTTGCACTGCATTAACGGCAAAAAATCAGCGGACACATAAAGATTAAAAAAAGTTGCGGTTAGTATGACATTACACAGAAGAGGGGTGCTCATATTTGAAAGAAATAAAAACAAGGTGGGCGTAAAGATGTATATATGGCAACCACGTGGTTAAAAAAAGCTTTGTTTTTGTCTTTTCTTGGTGTATCCGACCAATTTTTGATATATCCTATCTGCATCTTTCTAACTCAATATTTTGCTGACCAACAACCATCAGTCGGGATACAGACGCCGCGTATAACACCAATAGAGTGGGTATAAAGCACAGAAGAGTCGCAATTCTTATAGACACATGTATAAGCATGTTATCTGTTTATTTTCCTTAAGAAAACACGTGTTATTTCCATTAAAGCACAGAGGCACGTATATTGTTATTTTGGCCTCACATACATGTCCAGGCTGACTGACAGCAAGTAACCAATCAGCGCACAGTGCCATGCTGTTCTACACGGAACAGGGTTTAGTCTCTTTCAATTATTATTTGAAATCAAACTCATCTTTTTCTTCCGTTAATTGATCGATAACATTATTAGATAAGCAGCATTTACTTCAATAATAACTACAAGTATCCAGGTGGCGACTAAAGTTCAGGATTGCTGGCTAGTTTGTCGTAGCCAAGGCTTACGTATATTTCCAGTATATGACTGAAGGTGAAAGCTAAGTTTCTAAATGTTAAAGTTTCAATGTTAGTATTTGTGCATTGAAGCCCAATTGATATTATTTATTAAGTTGCCTACTACATCTCTGGCATTAATTGCTGACACGATTAATAGATCAGCGAAGGTGTCGTTGGGTTCGTCTGCAGCGGTTTGTACGTTTCAGGTGTTTGTAAATCACTCCCAGTCGATACCAAGTTCTTTATCCTGTTCATCTGATTCCTCCGCAGCCCTCTTAACGATTCTCTTCAAATCTTCATTGCCAATCTACAAAAAGATTCAACGTGCTATATGCCCTTGAACCTGTTATACAGATCAATATATTTAATTTTGGGAAGACACCTCTACTTTATCACAGAGAATACAGAATATCACACATTTCTAAAGAGTGACCTGCCGGATACCCTGATGAAAAACATGAGAGCTTATACCCCTTTTTATCAAAATGGTCTGATATTAAATTGTTTCAGTTTAGAGTGATTTTTTAAGTGATTTCTAAAGTATAAAATGTATATAGGCATGCGGGTAATAATAAAAAATACATGTAAGATGCTTAACTTAGTTCATACGCACCGAATCATCTTCAATTGGGCGAATTTTGGCAGTTGCTCTCCTTCTTTTTACAAAAGCTTATGGGTTAAAAGAAAAAATACAAATTATCATTTTAAAAGAAAATCTGTTTTCCTGTTTATCATTTCGTCTAGCTGTTCGTCTGCTTGTTACTTTGCAAATGCGGCCCATTTTCTGTTATTTCATATTGGAAAGCCATCCAATGGGTCACGAATAATCATAACATGTGCTTGTAAAATTTTAAAACAACTGTGTTATATTCTTTTACTCTCGTTTTTGATGACACTCTGTTTCATTTTAGCTTACCGGCTTCCGAATTCGTGGAAAAACAGACCACCAGTAGCACCACTAAGAGGATTGCAACCAACTTGGTGTTGTTCATCTTGAGAAGGTCGGTATGTACGTATAGCGTCGTTTTAAAGTGGACTGGTAGACAACACCCCCTTTCCCCGTCTTTTATATTTCTATGGATGCAACGTACCGTAAAAGAGACTTTGGTTTTATTTGTATCCTACTTAAAATTAATCATTTATGAGTCAACGAACTTTGTCTATGCGTTACTAGTAAAAAATATTGTCCTTTTAATACACAAGTTGCACATACAACTTGGGTCACTGATACATGTTAAAAAAACTGAAGTAGATTGTATTGAGTTTTTGCGAAAAAAAAGGCCTCTGATAACTACTGTAAAATCGCGTTTTCACCTCTTGCGCCCGTGAGAAAATTTGACCCCGTTCCCCTGCGCTGGGTTTTTAAATCACCTGCCTTTTCTTATTATAATTTTCCCCAATAATGTCATCTTACAAGTACACTGTCCTTGACCAAGTTCAAGTGCAATAAACAAGAGTAAAACGCTTGGAACGCTTGGACTTGAGCTGCTTCCAATATGCATTAGCTGAGCCTGCCCCGTTATTTGTGTTTTTCCACTTGGTGCTATTACAATAACTTGTATTACACAGGAAATGGTTTCGATATTTTTCTCATATTTCCTTTTCTGTATTACATGTATAGTGATAATCCCTGAATCTGGTGTTAAGCAGCCATGCAGGCATATCCACAAGAACATAAAGTTTGTAACAGGTATAAGTACATTAATATAGTTATTCAAGAATATTCCGTCACCAATTGACACTTAATCAGTGATCATTTAAAGTGACGATGGATTCTTTTACTTGTTCTAAGTGAATTTACATATTTCGGATCAAAAGTATACAGCTATGTTGGCTAATAATACAATATTCCGAGGAGGAGATTTATTTCATATGTATCATCGTCGAGGTCAGTTGTTTTAGAACTGGTTGTATAGCAGCGAAATAGTTATCACGTGCCAGAAAGATTGCAAGATCATGTGATACCTATTAGACTGGCTAGTAAATATTGTCCACATTTGTAAGGTAAATATAAACCATTTGTCATATCAGCACGGCAAAACACCATGATTTGTGAATATGGGAAAGGATGGAATCAGTTTAAGTTTCATAACTGATAAAAAGAGAAAAGATATAACTGTGTTCACACCGGGGATGTCTATGGACCCATTCAAGTGCTTCTTTTCACTGCAGGTATGCAGTCAAACTGGGACAGTGACAGTGAAAAGAAAAAGCTACGAGGACACATATTGTCTTAATAAATATTGAATCAACATCATTTTTTTCGAAATTTAGATTCTTAAAGAAAACCAGAAATTAGTATGATTTTGTTTACTAACGCCCTTCGCGAATCTTTTAGCACAATGTTGTTTGTAAAAAAAATATTTGGAAACTCTAGAACAAGTTAATAGTTTTTGCTACCACCTTGCACGGAGTGATCTTATTTACTTTATTTCAGTCCAAACTCTGATGGCTGTAACCTCGACACTAAAATGCAGCCTTGCACCTTGAATAATCCTACCTCTAGGGATTTATCTATACACATTTGTCCCACCCCAGTTGAACAAGTTATGGGCCACTGCTTGTACATAGAAGTTCTCTATTTGTTATGCCAGCCTCTGATAGGTGCAACCTCGACGAGAAATTCGACCCCTCTGTCCTGCCTCTACAGGTCACGCCCACTGCTGGGTACATCACGTGACCAGTTGCACTGCATTAACGGCAAAAAATCAGCGGACACATAAAGATTTTAAAAAAGTTGCGGTTAGTATGACATTACACAGAAGAGGGGTGCTAATATTTGAAAGAAATAAAAACAAGGTGGCCGTTAAAATGTAAGATATGGCAACCACGTGGTTAAAAAGGCTTTGTTTTTGTCTTTTCTTGGTGTATCCGACCAATCTTTGATATCTCTTATCTGCATCTTTCCAACTCAATATTTTGCTGACCAACAACCACCAGTCGGGATACAGACGCCGCGTATAACACCAATAGAGTGGGTATTAAGCACAGAAGAGTGTCAATTCTTATAGACACATGTACAAGCATGTTATCTGTTTATTTTCCTTAAGAAAACACGTGTTATTTCCATTAAAGCACAGAGGCACGTATATTGTTATATTTGCCTCACATACATGTCCGGGCTGAGCGGCAGCAAGTTACCAAATAGCGCACAGTGCCTTGCGGTTCTAAAAGGAACGAAGTTTAGTCTCTTTCAATTATTATATGAAATCAAACCGATCTTTTTCTTCCGTTAATTGATCGATAACATTATTAGATAAGCAGCATTTACTTCAATAATAACTACAAGTATAAATCTCCAGGTGGCGATTAAAGTTCAGGATTGCTGGCTAGTTTGTCGTAGCCAAGGCTTACGTATATTTCCAGTATATGACTGAAGGTAAAAGCTAAGTTTCTAAATGTTAAAGTTTCAATGTTAGTGTTTGTGTATTGCAACCCAACTGATATTATTTATTAAGTTGCCTACTACATCTCTGGTATTAATTGCTGGCACGATTAATAGATCAGCGAAGGTGTCGTTGGGTTCGTCTTGAGCGGTTTGTACGGTAGCAGGTGTTTGTAAATCACTCCCCGTCGATACCAAGTTCTTTATCCTGTTCGTCTGATCCCTCCGCAGCCCTCTTCAAGATCCTCTTCAAATCTTCATTGTCAATCTACAAAATGATTCAACGTGCTATATGCCCTTGTACGTGTTATACAGATCACTATATTTGATTTTGGGAAGACATCTTTACTTCATCACAGAGAATACAGATTACTGCAGGTTTTTAAAGAGTAATCTGTTAATCTGATGAAAAACATGAGAGCTTATACCCGCGTTTTATCAAAGTGGTCTGATATTAAATTGTTTCAGTTTTGAGTGATGCAAATATTAGTCTGTGAAATCTAGATACGCATAAATCTGTTAGTAAAATCAAATTGCTTAATTAATTAATTATTTAGTTCATACGCACCGAGTCAGATTCAATTGGGCGAATTTTACCATATCGTCGTCTTCTTCTTCCTAAACATTAAGGGTTAAAAAAGAAATACAAAATATCATTAAAAAATTGCTTTCCTCTTTATCATTTTATCTATCTGTCCATCTACATGTACTTATTACATTGCAAATCCACGACGGTATACGATCCACTGTCTGTTGTTTAATATTGGAAAGCCATCCAATAGGCCACATGTATTAATAACGTGCGCTCGTACAATTTTTTAAAAAAAGTATGTCATATTCTTTCACTCTTTTTTGGATGACATGGTATTTCATTTCAGCTTACCTTCCGAATCCGTGGACAAACTGACCACCAGTAATACCATCAAGAGGATTGATACCAACTTGTTGTTGTTCATCTTGAGGAACTCGGTATGTTCGTATAACGCTGTTTTAAAAGTGGACTGGGTGGCAACAACCCCTTTTCCCGTCTTTTATATTTCGATGGGCGCAACGAACCGTAAAAGAGAATGCTATTTTATTTGTATCCTACTTAAAATTAATCATTTATGAGTCAACGAACTTTGCTTATGCGTTATTAGTAAATAGATATTGTCCTAACACACAAATTGTACATACAACTTGGGTCAGTGATACATGTTAATACAAACTGAAGTAGAGTGATTTAAGAAAAAAGCCCCTGATTACTACTGTAAAATCCTGTTGTCACCTCTTGCGCCTGTGAGAAAATTTGACCCCGTTCCCCTGTGCTGGGTTTTTAAGTGACATACCTTTTCTCATTTTAAATCAGCTGTCTTTTCTGATTATAATTTTCCCCAATAAAGTCACCTTACAAGTACACTGTCCTTGACATGTTTCACGTGCAATAATCAAGAGTAAAACTCTTGAAACGCTTGAACTTAAAATGCTTCCATCATGCATAAGCTGAGCCTGCTCATTTATTTGTGTTTTTTTTCCACTTGGTGCTATTACAATAACTTGGATTACACAGGAATGATTTCGATATTTTTCTTATATTTCGTTTTCTGTATTGTAGTGATAATCCCTGAATCTGGTGTTAAGCAGCCATGCAGGCATATTCACAAGAACAAAAAGTTTGTAGCAGGTATAAGGACAGGTAGTTATTCAAGAATATTCCGTCACCAATTGACACTTAATCAGTGATCATTTCAAGTGACGATGGATTCTTTTACTTGTTATAAGTGAATTTACATATTTCGGATCAAAACTATACAGATATGTTGTCTAATAATACAACATTCCGAGGAGGAGATCTATTTCATTATATGTATCATGGAACTGATTGTCAAATAGCATCGAAATACCTATTACGTGCTAGTAAGAGTGCATGAGCATGATATTGGACTGGCTAGTAAATATTGTCCACATTTGTCTGGTAAATACACACACTGGACAAAAGAAGTGTGACCCCCTCAATCAGAGAACTGAAAGAAGGCAGATCTTGGGTAGTTATAATGCCTGGTTTACTTATAATGTGACTAATGAGTAAGAACCCCTGTACCATGGAATCGTATTGTTGGTCTTGTACATTTACAGCAAATGTTATTGATGTCTTCCTCCTATTGACAAGATACAGGCAATTTTCTAACGATTATAGACGTCAAGTTATTAATCCGTAGAGGCGGAATATAAGCAATGTCAGACTATCGATGCAGTTGGTTTGTTCAGTCAGAACCGTGCAGAGGGTCTGGTCTCAGTATAGAAACACTGGATCAAGAGACAAATCGCCACTGATAGGTCGTCCAAGAAAAAATGCTGACCGTGAAGACCGACGACTGATTTTTATGTCCAGGTTGTCAAGGTTCGACATTGCTTGTCAGTGGAACGATTTCACAAATAAGAATCTGTCTGTGAAAACTGCTAGGCGTCGGTTACATGCTCAGAGAGTGTACAGCAGGGTAGCCAGACTGAAACCTCTTATATCATTACAAAACAGGCAAGGTAGAGTGAACTAGGGCCAACAGGATCTGGAACTGGACAGTCCATGACAATTGGTCCTATATAGTTTTTCTGATGAGTGTCGCTTTGATCTGACCTCTATGGACAGAAGGGTCCGATGCTGGCGAACTGCTGGTAGTAAAGTATTTGAACCACATACACTGAATTTTCGAACCCGGAGAAGCATATTCATCATGGTGTGGGGCAACATCAGCATCCATGCCGTTGGTGACTTGGTAGTGGTTGATGGAAACATCAATTACTTGAAATATATCGATGTTTTGGAGTCAAACTTGCTACCATCTATTACTAACATGTTTGGTGACAGGAATTAGCCATTTGTTCACCAGGATGACAATGCTCCTTGTCACAGACCCAGAGCAGTTGATTATTGGTTCGACCAACAGGAAATTCGCAGGGTGATGTGGCCTGCCCAGAGTCCGGATGCAAACATAATAGAAAATGTGTTGAATGATAAGTCAAAACTTTTGACAAATGCCCGTCCAACCAGCAGACAAACTCTGTTAGATTCAATGTTTCATGCTTGGGCCAGCATAAGCCCTGAACGCAACAGACAATTATATGAATCCTTGCTTCGCAGACTGGCAGCTATTATTAGGTCACGTGGCTATGCCACTAAGTACTAATTTTGGACTTGAAACTGCATATCTTGGTAGAATGTATATTTTGTTCTCATTTTGCTTTTTTTTNAATTTGATGTTAATAAAATGATACCAGGAGCATATTATTCCACAGTCATTTATCTCCCCCAAAGTATTGGTTCAGTAGGGGTGACACTTCTATTGTCCAGTGTGTGTATAAACCATTTGTCATATCAGCACGGCAAAACGCCATAACTGGTGAAAACGGCAAAGGATGGCATCAGTTTAAGTTTCATAACTTTTAAAAAAGGAAAGATGTATATGGACCCATTCAAGTGCTTCTTTTCACTGCAGGTATGCTGTCAAACGTAGTGTGGCTCTTTAAACTGAAACACCATTGTCCTGTCTCTGCCTAGCCACGTCCACTCCACGGTAGGTGGGGGGGGCAGTGACGGTGAAAAGAAAAAGCTAAGAGGACACAACTGCTCTCTATAGTTCTCTTCACATCTTCTTTTCTAATCTTAAAAAAAAACAAATCGTGTAATACGCCCTAGTACACGTTATACAGTGCATAAATTTCATTTTTTTGAATCAATCATACTGTCTTTTTTACTTCATGACAGAGACAACAGTTTCACAAATTCCTAAAAAGTGTTCTGCTGGATAATCTGATAGAAAACATTCCGGCAAATAACCACGTTTTTTCTCCCGAAAAAGTCAGAAATATTTCAATTTTGAGTGATAGATGTGCATCATATTCCATACGCATCGAGTCATATTGCATTTGGCGAATTTTACCAATAAGTCTTATTCTTCTTGCAGCCACGGATTTAAGGAAAAACCGCAAAACATTATTTCACAATTAAATATGTTTCCTGCTTTTCATTTAGTCCATCTGTCTGTCAGCTTGTTATATTACAAAAGTGTTTCGCCAAAAAGAAAAAGGTTCTAAAACATTACCAGGTATATCAACACCGTATTGTGTTTCTTTCACTCTCGTTTTGGATGACATGGTGTTTCATTTTAGCTTACTTTCCGAGTCAGTGGACAAACAGACCGCCAGTAGTACCACTAAGAGCAACCAACTTGGTGTTGTTCATCTTGAGGTGCTTGGTATATTCGTATAACGCAGTTTTAAAAGTAAAGTGGGTGACAACGGTCCCTCTCCCCGTCTTGTATATTGAGTTTGGCGAAACATACCGTAAAGACAAAATATGATTTCATTTATCTTTTCCTAAAAGTGATGATAAACTGTGAAACAAAATTTGTGATGCAAAATTTTGCTTATGCGTCATTAGAATAAATATTGGACGTGTAAATATTGCATATTACTTGTATTATTCATATAAATATATTAGTATAAAAAAGAATAGAATAAAATAAAATAGAATAGAATAGAATAAAAAGTTTGATCACTGGGGTAAAATCGTCAATGAGTCATTGAGGAAATTCGAGCCCGATCCCTTGCTATGCACTTGAACTGTAAAGTCGTCTGCATCATATTTACTGCACCAATTTTTCCAAAAGTGTCACCTCACAGGTTAGCTGTTCTTGGCCCCGATCACGTGCACCCTTGCAAAGACACGCCAATAATACGCCAGTACGAAAGGACAATTAAACTTACAATCGATATTACAAAGCATTAGTTATTTATCTTTATGCCAACCCTTTGCCAATGGTGTTTTGAAATAGTGCAATTTTAATGTTATCTCCTACTGCATGTAGATTATAAATTATTTTTTCACGTATAATAATTTGATTTTTTCCTTATCCCCCGAAGTTGAAATGCTGTTTCTTATGACGTAACCTGTAAAATTCGTAAAACACCTTGTGTCATGCATTTTGTTTGTTAATGACATGCCAGATGTAACCTTGAGGCCTGCAGCCGTCACCGTTATAATCACAATATTTTTACTTCGTATTGTATGTTAGTCACAGGCTTCGTTTCTGATGTGAAGCGTGTTAAATAATCTGACACTGCAAGTCTTTTTTTCATAATTCCCTGCTGCTGTAAATAATGCTGGTATATAGTTTTCTGATATTTGTGTGTTGTTTTTATCTCCTAATCCCCTGAAGCTGAAACACGTTTTGCATGGATACGCTTGTAAAGACACATCATTTCATGTGACACCTTGTGTTATATTACATTCATTAACGACATTCCAGAGGTAACCTGGTGTCCTCCATTACCACCACAATACTGGGTGGAATTAGAACGCATTCAGAACAGCGGACTAACAAATCTGCGGATCAACTATGGTAACCGATTTAAAAACTTGCCTATTACTGATGAGACACTTTTATAAAAATAGATTCTCCGCGGGGATTACACAGCAAGCATTCCAGTTGGTCGGCCATATTTGATCCGAGGATCCGTTAGTCCGCTGTTCTAAATGCGCTCTTAGTGCACAGGCTACATTTTAATATTTATTTCTTCCAACTTCCATTAGCCTTTAAACAATTTGCAATAATTGCCTGTTACCATTCCCATACCCTCTGCAGTTCATTGGCGTTTAAGTAGATGTTGTAGGAGTGCAGTTTATTTTCTTGAAAATCACTCAAAATTATATATATATTGACTGCAATATGCGATATCTAAGATTTATTTCTGTTTTACATTGAATTTCGTGATTGTATATAGTTACGATTAGTATGGCATTTCACAGAAGAGTGGCACTCATATTTGAAAGAAATAAACACAAGGTGTACGTTAAAAATGTAAGATATGGCAACAGCGAAGTTAAAAAGGCTATGCTTTTGTTTTTTCTTGGTGTATCCCAATAATCTTTGGTATCTTTAATCTGAATCTTTCTAACTCAATATTTTTCTAACCAACAATTACGAGTCTGGATGCATGTCCTCATACCGCGGATAACACCAAGACAGTGGGTATAAAATAAAAAAGGATTCTCAATTCTCAAAGACACAAGTACAAGCAAGTTGTCTATTTATTATACTTAAGAAAGCACAAGTTATTTCCTTTAAAGCACAGTACCACTTGTATTGTCATATTTGCCTCACATACATGTCCAGAGTGAGCGGAAACAAGTAACCAATCAGCGCACAGTGCCATGAATTCTACACGGAACAGGGTTTAGTCTCTTCCAATTATTATGAGAAGATAAACCAATCTTTTTCTTCCGATAATTGATCAATATCATTATCAGATAAGCAGCACTTACTTGAATAAGCACTTCAAGTATAAATCTCCCGATGGCGACTAAAGTTCAGGATTGCTGGCTAGTTTGTCGTGGCCAAGGCTTACGTATATTTCCAGAAGGAAAAAGCTAAGTTTCTAAATGTAAAAGTTTCAGTGTTAGTGTTTGTGCATTGAAGCCTAATTGATAGTATTTATTAAGTTACGTACTACATTTCTGGCATAAATTGCTGGCACAACTGTTAGATCAGCGAAGGTGTCGTTGGGTTCGTCTCGAGCGGTTTGTATGGTAGCAGGTGTTTGTAAATCACTCTCCGTCGATACCAAGTTCTTTATCCTGTTCATCTGATTCCTCTACAGCCCTCTTCATGATCCTCTTCAAGTTTTCATTGCCAATCTACACAAAAATTCAATGTGCTGTATGTCATTGTACGTGTTATACATATAACTATATTTAATTTAGGGAAGACACCTTTACTTTATCGCAGAGAATACAGAATATCGCAGGTTTCTAAAGAGTAATCTGATAGATAATCTGATGAGAAACATGATAGCTTGTACCCACGTTTTATCAAAACGGTCTGATATTGAATTGTTTCAGTTTTAAGTGATGCAAATATTAGTCTGTGAAATCTAGATACGCATAAATCTGTTAGTAAAATCAAATTGCTTAATTGATTAATTATTTAGTTCATACGCACCGAGTCAGATTCAATTGGGCGAATTTTACCATATCGTCGTCTTCTTCTTCCTAAACATTAAGTGTTAAAAAAGAAATACAAAATATCAATAAAAAATTGCTTTCCTCTTTATCATTTTATCTAACTGTCCGTCTACTTATTACATTGCAAATGCGATCCACTGTCTGTTGTTTAATATTGGAAAGCCATCCAATAGGCCACATGTACAACGGTAATCATAACATGTGCTCGTAAAATTTTTTTAAAAAAGTCATATTCTTTCACCCTCGTTTGGATGGCATGGTATTTCATTTCAACTTACCTTCCGAATCCGTGGACAAACTGACCACCAGTAATACCACCAAGAAGATTGCGACCAACTTGTTGTTGTTCATCTTGAGAAACTCGGTATGTTCGTATAACGCTGTTTTAAAAGTGGACTGGGTGGCAACAACCCCTTTTTCCGTCTTTTATATTTCGATGGGCGCAACGAACCGTAAAAGAGAATTCTATTTTATTTGTATCCTACTTAAAATTAATCATTTATGATTCAACGAACTTTGCTTATGCGTTATTAGTAAATAGATATTGTCCTTCTAACACACAAATTGTATATACAACTTGGGTCACTGATACATATTGATAAAAAATGAAGTAGACTGTATCGATTTTTTGGGCAAAAAAGCCCCTGATTACTACTGTAAAATCCTGTTGTCACCTCTTGCGCCTGTGAGAAAATTTGACCCCGTTCCCCTGCACTGGGTTTTTAAATCACCTGTCTTTTCTTATTATACTTTTCCCCAATGAAGTCACCTTACAAGTTAACTGTCCTTAACCACGTCACGTGCAATGATAATGCAGGTGTGCAGTCAGAAGTGGTTAGGCTCTTCAAATTGAAGACGGAAACTCTTCACGTCAACTCCAGGGTACGTACGGGGGGCAGTGACGGCGAAAAGAGAAAGCTAAGAGGACATTAATGTCTTAATAAGTTGAATCAGCATACAATTTTTTTATTTAGATTCTTAAAGAAAACCAGAAAGTAGTATAATTATGTTCACCATCTTCCTTCGTGAATCTTTCAGCACAATGTTGTTAGTAGAAAAAGTTTGGAAGCTCTAGAACAAGTTTATACGTTTCACTACCACCTTGCACGAAGTGATCTTATTTATTCTATTTCAGTCCAAACTCTGATGGATTAACCTTAAATGCAACCTTACACCTTGAGTGATCTTACTTCTAAGGATTTATTATTTCTATACATTTTTGCCCCACCCCAGTTGAACCAGTTATGGGCCACTGCTTGTACATAAAAGTTCTCTATTTGTTATTCCAGCCCAAACTCTGATAGGTGCAACCTCGACAAGAAATTCGACCCCTCTGCCCTACTTCTACACTGCATGAACAGCAAAAAATCAGCGGACACATAAAGATTAAAGAAATTCATTAACCTACATCCAATTTCCTATTCAATTTTTATTCCTACATCCAATTCCTACATCCAATTTTTATTTTTCTTTTTTAGCGAATTTATGCAACTGTGTATGTCAATCAAATTACTATTTCGTGTCAGTTAGAGTGATCAGGTTATACATACTTTCACCGGCTGAGAAATATTGTCCTCATTTGTTTGGTAAATATAAACTATGTGTCACATACCAGCACGATTAAACGTCATAATTGGTTAAATTGGGAAAGGCAAGAAACAGTGATTTTTCAATATTAATAAAATAGAAAATATATTTACACGCCGCGAATTAGATGGGCCCATTTTAGCATGTTAATTTATTGCAGGCATGCAGTCAGCTTTGATTTGGCTCTAAAAATATATAAGACAAAAAGGGCAGCCGTGCCCTCCCCACCCCACCCCCCAGCCACACCCACTGCTCGATACATCACGTGACCAGTGGTAATAAAGAGAAACGTCTCAGCGGACACATAACGATTGAATCAATTTTGAATCAACGTCAGTTTTTTTTTTATTTTGGAAATTTAGATTATTATTGAAAACCAAAACTTAGATGTAGTACCATTATGATCACCAACGTCTCTTGACGACTCTATTAGCAAAATGATATCTGTAAAAGAGTTTGGAAACTCTAGAACAAGTTCATACTTTTTGTTTACACCCTGCATCGAGTGATCTTACTTTCAGCGATTCATTATTTCTACACATCTTCATGAAAACATCTTACCGGTAGATATGTGTGACCCCAGCTGGACTTGTTCTAGGCCACTGCTATTACATAAAGGCAATGTGTTGGAACTGGTTTCAATTGTCCTGTCGAAAAAGGTGATATATATCAAGGTCAAAACACAATAGGATATGCAAGGTAACTGCAAATAATTGGGAGTGCAATTTCTTCTTTTTTTCATAATGTATGGCCTACTAGGCGTGAAATAACAGTTGGTATATACAGTGCAATTTTGATCTAGCAGAAGACAAGATTTGCGTCAAAATCGTTTGACAAGAGTCGTTTAACAGGAATTTGAAAAAGCTTGAAAGATATAAAATATTTTGACCATGGAATTTGGCAAATGGAAAAGATTTTGTCAACGTACCGAAGCATACTGTTAATGTAAAAATATTTAATATGTACCTATGACTTATGTTTAAAACCTTTATTTTTTTCCTTTTTTATGCTAATATTAAAAGACTCTTTTCACTACCCAACCATGTCACCCCTCTTATTTGATCTTAATAATGGTTGACCTTCACCCTAACGTGGCATCGATCTCGAGGGGAAAACACCAGACCATGTCACCTACTCAACAAGGGCAAAAGATTTTTATGTGCCGCAGGGACGGAAAATGTACCCGCCACATTCAGAATAGGGGACTAACTAGTCCGAGGGTCAAATATGGCCGAACCACTTGAATACTTCCCCACAGGATATCTGTTCAGTGTATATTAGCGGATTAGACGGCAAGCTTTGTAGTGGGTCGCCATATTTGACCCTCGGACTTGTTAGTCGCGTATTCTGAATGGGGCCTAATACGGTACATGCACTGTTAGAGCTAGGCATTACGATTCAAATGGTTACGTCGACGTACTAGCTGCTAAACTGTAAAAGAGCACAGTCCACATACTCCGATCCTATCTTGTTTTTATATTCTGTTGCGAGTGTTGCCGAACGTTGCAGAGATTTTCAAATTAATTATCAAATTCTTGTTTTATTTCTTTAACAAGGGTGACGATGGCTCTTCTTGTAACAAATGCCGAGGCATGTTTTATAAATTAACCGATTAGATTTGGAATATGCTGCCCCTGTCTGGCACTTTGGGTTAACGAAGGAATTGACTGCCCTAGTAGAAAAGTCTCAAGAAAGAGCTCTCAAGATAATTTATCCTGATCTTGAATATGACGCTGCTTGTGGACACAGTAAACTTGAACTACTGAGTGAAAGACGGCTCAATGCATGCAAAAAATTGTTTATTAGTATTTCAAATGAACCGGATCATAGACTGCATTATCTTTTACAATCAAAACAAAATGTCAAATATTCATTTAGGGAACAGGAAACATTCAAAAGACCTAAAATTAAAACCAAATGATCAATAAGTGACTTTTTAACAAGTGCCATATACAAGTTTCAGAATTAACTGATAGACTTTTATTTCTATTTTAAACCTTGCATTTTAGATATTGTGTTTTAAATTTGTTTACATATGTCTTTTAATATTCCTTAATTTTACTTAGTAATGGTTTTATTCAACTATGATGCAATGATTGTAATTATCCAACCCTCGGGTTGAAAGTTTGGTAATAATAATAATAATAATTTAAAGCATAATAATAATAATAATTTAGATCTATATAAATTTGCGATTGTCACAATCCCATCCGTTGCAATTTTAGTTGTGAAGTCATGAACAGTCATCTGTCATTCTTTGAAAATGGCCCATGTCGATTCGATGTTGGCTGTGTCAGTCTCACCCGTTGCAATTTTAGTTGTGGTGAAGTCTTGGAAATTAAAGTTATTTGCCATTCTTTGTAAATGTACCATGTGGACCAATCTCATCTGTTGCAATGATGGTTGTACCTGTCATGTAGTAAACATGTAGTATTGATATAGAATATCATGACCAAGTCATATAGTGCCTCGCATGTTCCTCTTGCAGGAGTGGTCAGGAGGTTTGACAGCGTGATCATGCATCTGACGTGACAGGTAGTATTGATATAGTATATCGTGATCAAGTCATTTAGTGCCTCGCATGTTCCTCTTGCAGGAGTGGTCAGGAGGTTTGACAGCGTGACCATAATAGTTTGACATTTTTTTCACAGTTTATCAAATACGCAGTGCAGATAGTCTTACCGATTACGGTCTTTTTATTTCTGTCTTTATTTCAAAATCGAATCTTATTAATATTTGTGCATAACATTCTATGTTTGCATTTATTCCTGTTTTATTGTTCTAAAATACAGTGTTAACATTTTCATTGGACTAATTTTCCAAAACACGGCTATAGTTACCTCTGTTTTCCTTTAAACAGGTTTCCATGTGCTTAGGCGGGAAAATATTCTGGGCATCGGCCAGACTTTGGCTTAGCTGGTTCGGCATTGCCTAAGACCAGTGTACCGTTGAATCGACGAGTAATTTATGGTCACAGAGTCTCTCCTGGGTTCATACCTGGCGATCTTGATACCCACGGTAGCCGCTCAGTGCCTTATTTGGTTCTACAAGTAATCTTCAATTACTCAAGTATTACTCAAATTCAAGTACAAGTGCACTGCGTGGACGGGCATTGACATCTTGTAGAATAAAACATATATGCCACATGTAGTTCTTTTTGGTTCTTGTTATATTCACACCATATTTTTTCAGTTTACAAGTTGATTAACTTTGGTGATAGAATAGTTTGAAAGCAGCTGTTCATTATGCATGTACCCGTAATATATGTTAAATTTAATTTTCTTCATATTTTCATCAAACACTACGGGTACATGTTTAATAGGTGCACACTTCAGTATGTAAACAATTAACACAAACGTTCAAACCGGACTTGTTTTTAAGACAAGGGCATATTTGCGGTAATACAGTGTAGGGGGCCTACGTGACCGTGACCCTCACCTTAAGCTTCAATGTACCTGTGACATCTTAACTAGGTCAACCTTTTCCACGTGATGTGACCTACATTCCATAAATACACCGTGTGTCAATAGAGTCCGGATATATTGACGGCGTGTTATTTCAATTTTTGCGCAGTTAGAGAAATCTGTGGTCTTTACTGGACTGTTTGTGCCTTGTGGTTCTAGAGTGAGTATATTTTTAATTTCATATATCTGTACACGCAAAAGCATGATTGTGATCGTGTCAGGCTACATGTAGGTCTACATTGTAAGTTAATCTTCGCTGACACAAATACCGGTAGTGGTAGACGTGCGTTTATTTGTGTACGTGTCGTACTCATCAACGTCTTAAACACATTGCGAAAGGATATTGTCATATATCGTGATCAAAAACAGATATTTGATCAATCACAAACTGTGTGCTCTGCAGCCTTTAAGAGATATAACAATATGCCAGCCAATGAATTATATAGATCGCTGTAAATACAGGTAGACAGCGTGCGGCGTGCAGGGGTCACGGTCAACCTTCGTCGAAGGGTTGATTTGTATAAGGGTTGTTTTGACAAGGGTTGTTCTTGCTGCTCGTCTGTTATATGTTGGGAATATAATATATCTGCATGCAGTTGTTAAACTGACGGATCTTTTTCCCAATATCTCTTAGAAACTGCTATCTACATGTATCTACATGTAGTGTACTGTCTGTGGCAGGGAAATGATCATAGGCTTAATGTCAGGTCAAGAGAGAGAGAGAGAGAGAGAGGGAGAGAGAGAGAGTTAGTTTGGGTGCATGCGCGTGTGCATGGGGTTTAGGGGCTATAGGGGGTGGAGGGGGACCATCTGTCCTAAATTCATATAAACTTGTCTCCTAATAATAATTTATAAATAATTGATTAACACCGTCTATTATAACTGAATTACAGACGACTGTTAATATTAAAATGCACTAAAATAATGAAGCACGTTAATATTTTTTTTACTGACATTTGGATGTACATTGGTAAAGTGTCTACCAAAATAACTGTAATCTTATGTTTTTTAAAAATATTTTATTATAGTTTAATTAAGGCATAGGAGGCTGTAAATTGCCAGCGTCTGATATAGAATATACTCATTTTATTAAGATTTATGATTTTCAGTGAAATTGCTTTAAAATCTGGTGTACATACAGCATCAGTAAATGCTAAGTTCTGCATTCCAATGTTATCAGACGTATTCACAGGTAATTAGTGCGACAAAAAATCCAAATCCGGGTCCTGCTCCTTTTATTAGCACAGCTTGTCACGCTAACCCTAACCTGTATGAATTTAAATAAGCAAACGGACTCTCTCTTTCACAGACCCTCATTTTTTTAAAATACGGATAATCCACAGAGAAGGATAACACAGTGTTAGCATAACTGGATAGAAATGTTCGATACCCTGTATGTACACGTATATGTACCCCGTATGCACGTGTATTATTTTGGACACGTCCAAATGGATGTTGCATTGGGACAGTCATTCTACAGAAATACGACATACATTACTTTCATTACTTAATACTCTGATTTTGTCAATCCATTATTATCATATTATGAAATGTCATTTTTTTTTCAAATCATCAACTGTCCCAAGATTATCGAAAATCAAATTCGTTTAACGAAAAAATTTCAGACTTTATTTGGGCTTTTACCGCCTGTGGTGAAATTTTTGTACGAGAATAAATTAAAGTTGACCAAGTGAAATGAAACATTTTTTTTGTGAAATAACAAAGTTATTTTTGTTATAATAATCTGTTTAAGTCTCAGTCTTCTTCAAGCGGTGTTTTCATGGAAGAATGCCATCTTTGTGGAATTCCTTGCAACAACAGCAACAACAACAGCAAAAAATAGTTTTAATAGATATTTTATTTCAGTTTCTCTTTGAACTTTTAAATTAATCGCGTATATGTACGTGTTTATATGTTTACATTATATGTTGCTGATTTTAGGTGTCCAAAGAAACAGGAACAATGTCAGCCAGGCAGATTTTGTCAATATTACTGTTTCTCGCTATCATTAACGTTGGTAAGTGGCATTCCGATCAAATTCAAATTGGAATCGATTTTTGAATTCACCCATTTTGAGTATGTTAATTGACTCTACATTTTGCTTAGGTACTTGTAGCCTAGAAAATTAGTGAGTCAAATTTTGCTTTCTATTTCCCCCTTTCATGCCCTTGATTACCCATCCAATATCTCTTTACTTCTTGTCTAGCTGTCTTTCTGTCTGTCCACTTTTTTGTCTGTCTGTCTGCCTGTGAAATACTGAAGCACATATATAGAAATGTCTCTTTACAGCGTATGCGGTACTGTGCTATCAGTGCAACAGCCGTGACCACCCAGACTGTGGGGACGACCCTTTCAGTGGACTTAACTTAACCACGACCATGTCCTGTGTCCGATGTAAGAAGTGGAAACGATTACAAGATGGTAAGGAGTTCATAGAGAATAGATCACAGTAGATATGTTTTCGTTGGTTTCACGGCGTTGCATATCCAAGTACGTCTTGGGCGTCTGCGATTTTCTTTCGCTGGTGCTGGTGTGGCAGGTACGGTAGTCCTAGGAATAGAAGTTGAGGGTCCCATATGATCAGTACAGGTTAAGATTTGTCGTAGTACCTGCATGCTTGAGTGTATCGGAAGAAAGTCACGTGTTAAAAATAATGGGGGACGGACCACGGTTCCTAGCGGACTTCCATCCCTGCCACACCGGCTTGGACAAGTTTTTAAGGGGGTCATTTCCAGAATAACGAAACTTTCGTTGCCTCATGCCTTTCAACAGCTATCTCTGAACTTCAATGTCTGAAGCCATTATACTAGTGTGCATATATATATATATCGGTATTCACTTTCAGGATCAACATATATCGAACGTGGCTGTGATACTTCAGGGAGATGGTCATACATAAACGGCTGCTTATATAAATACAAAAGTGGCAGCACTGCGTTTAGCGGATCCCGGAGTGGACCAAACACAGGCGCCATGCCTTGGATCTCGGGGACCGAGAATCACGAATGTTACTGCGATACTAGCCTATGTAATCGAGGCTCTGACCTTCACACTAAGGTCACCTTTGTCGCCATTCTAGCGTTTTTCATCAGCGTTTTTGGTCTGTTCTAAGTTAATGTTCATTTTGTATATAACCTTCATAGTGTTGTATGAGTACATGTACTGGTGTTACGAAACTGAGGGTCCGCGTAACAGAAAGTCTGCCCTTCATATACAGTGTACTGTAATTACAGTGGTGAGGGTTAGTCTGACCTGAGTGGGTCAAAATCTAGGGCGAAATCATGGTGCAAATAATGGGAAGCGAACAATCTCTATCATGGTTGGACTCTCTGTCTCCCTACACCGGCACATGTGTACATATATGATTTAGGGCGCATTCCCATAGATTTTAGATCGATCTATCCCCGTGGGGAGTCTCACTAGATTACTGTCAGATAATCCGGCTTAAATGTCCGTCCCGCCTACTACAAGCTGTAAGGGGGTAATTAAAACTTCCGTGCCTGGTCGGCTGACTGCAATTTAGCGTGAACCCCCAAGGGAGTTAGGTCGATCTAGTAAGATCGATCTAAATCTCTGGGAATGCCCTCTTAGGCTAATACCCCAGTGATGGAGCTGAAACTTTCTTGTTTTTGTACTTTTATATGTTACTCAGACAAAAAGATACCAAGATAACAATTGAGCCTGGTGATTTATTTGTAAATAATTCAATGACAAACATTTCATTTTATTACTGATTTGTGGAAGGGGTGGGGCAAAGTGTACAACTGTTTTGGATATATAAATCAAAAATTCAACATGTGCAGCGTGCGTCGCAGCACATTTAATCCATTTGATACTGAAGCGTTTTATGGGTGCTACCTTGTCCATGTATATAACCTCTGATTTTTACTACTTAAATGTAAATAACGTACGTAAACACACGAATTGTAAATGCAAATATTTTGTTTAGTTTGTTGTAAAAATTGATAAGTAGACACATACATGTACAGTGAACCTACATGTGAACTTTGCCATCGCAGCCTTCTTCTTGGAAAGCATTGTCACTACAAATACTCGTACACGCACCTGTACTGTTGAAACATAGCCTTTTTAACGTTATTATACACTGCTACAGCAACAATTATTATTATTATTATTATTATTATTATTATTATTATTATTATTATTATTATTTTATTTTATTTTATTTTATTTTATTTTATTTTTATTTTTATAGGAAATTACAACGGAGAACAGAGAAATAATCACATAGTTAAAGAGATAGCAACTGCTCGTATGAGATTCATGTAGAGGCATAGTAAACATCTCATAGAAGCGGGTATCGCAGTGATTCTTTAACATGAGCTTGCCATCAGACCACGTGGACCTTCATCGGAGGTTATACCTCCGTAATATTCTCTTAAGATATTATTACAAAAAATTCAAACTTTTTAGGAAAAAATAATGGGCTAATTTTGAATGTCGAAATTGATTCATTAGCCATTGGTGAATATGGGAAAATCGTTGTTTACCCCAGAAAATCAATTTTGGGGCCAAAACGAACAGTTGTTATCCCTTTTAATACATTGTTCCTAGGCATATACATGTAGAGCGTATTAGTTTTGTTTCTCCCTCAGCACAAATCACATAGTAGGGAGTACTGATGTTCTACTGCCTATCCCCCATTGCGTTTGTTGAGATACATGCAAGCAATCAAGCAATGGCAACAGCACCTCTACCATAAAGTGCTTTAGGTTTTCATCGACACTACTTACTTTGTTACTTACTTAATCAATGTAATTGAATGTATGGGTTCGCATCAGATAGACATAAGGCAGATTCTCGAGCTGGTGTGCTTATGATACGCTTCTAGCGCTAGTTTAATTGGTATAACGGTCATATTTTAGGCAATTGCAAAAGGCGTATATAAACGAATGTGATCCATATGTTAAGATAATAAGTAGATTTTGCTGTAATACAGTATTTCCAACCTGCTATAATGGTAGTAGGGAGCCACCAATACACGAGGCTGTTCTGTAATAAGCATCCTAAGAAAATAAAATATTATATGCTTTGTGTGTGTTGATGTGCTTAAATACAATTATAGCTGCAGTAATTATGCTGTTTTGTCACAGGTAGAAGGAAGATATAAAAGAGGCTGGTGTGTGTGTGTGGGGGGGTGGGGGGTGGGTGAAAAGTTAGGGACGCACAAACGCGCGTGCGCACGAACACACCGACAGGTAATTTATCTTATAACAGTTTTTTCAATATTTTGAGCTCATGACATCTCATTACATTTTACTCTTAAAAGACATACCAGGTAAGCGTAGGCATTATAACCTTCTGTATATAGAATCAGACCTGTCTCCGCACGTACAGTGTACTAGTATGGTGATGACGGTCTTTTTCTTTCTTTGGGGACAGACAATAAGTCAAAAATCCCTACTATCTTATTTGGAAATATAAATTTCTATTGTCAGCTTTTAGGCTAGAACAATTTTGGACATCTACTGCATTTTCGGTGCGCAAAGAAAAAGAGGATTAAAAAAAGTCCACAAAAATCTTAGAGAAAAGAACCCTTCAGAAATAAGATCACTTAAATTAAACGTATTACAGGCAAATAAAGAAATAAAGAAATAAAGAAATAAAAATTAAAATAAAACGGGAGATACTTTTAAAGTACAGCATCTTCTTAGTAAGCGCAGAGATATCAAGAAAGAATCGGCATAAGAAAATGCCATTGCTAATGGTGACGTGTTTGCATGTGAGGCAACAACTATTTTTTAAATATAAGATAACCCCTGATATCAGGACCCTCTAAAACAGTATACACAATTAAGGTATATATATATATATATATATATATATATATATATATATATATATATATATATATATATATATATGATTCTGTAACAGACTACAAGCGGACACTGTGATCAGAGAGTAAACGATTGTATGTGTGAGCTATAGAAGCCTAGGAGTGCGGTGGCTGAGGTTGTGAATGTGGTAGTTGGGTCGACCCACACAATTGATAGGTCAGATATTATCAATGAAATGCCTCGAATGTACAGTAAGCTACATGTACGTGTATCTGTTTACCTTTTATTCTTATCGTGCGTTAACCATTATCATTACCTTAAACTTCGTCATTTTCATGAATGAGGAGTTTCAAATCAATTCTTGAAATTTTGCTTTTTATTTGTTCGAGCAGAAAAAGAGCTTAGGTGATCCTTTAAGCAGTTAAAGCACATAAAGGTGTTAATGTATTGTGTTTTGGTCTTGTTTTCGTCGGGGAGATAACATGCGCTGAGATTCTCTCTTCTACCCTGTAAGGTGTTGCCTGATTGTATAATGCCTAATGTGGCAATAAGTACAAATGCTTCTAACATCTCAGGTCACTTAAGTGCAAAGAAATAAAAACGCTCTTGGCCCAGGTGGCTTGGAGCAGGGCTGGACATAGCGTTTGGCCGGCTGGACGGGTCTCGATGCCAGAACAAAACAAAACAAGGCAACTCCCCTCGCCGCCTTGGTCAAGCACAAAGGGTGAAAAGTTGGCGCTCCTTAACCAAGGACTCGTGGGTCGTTAAATAAACAGTTAACCGAGTGGAAAGCGTTTGGTGGTTCTCTTTGATATAAAATGGTACTTTCTCCCTTTTATAGCCTTGCACACGCTTGGAAGGGTATCTATAAAAAGAAAATACACATGAAAGTATAGGGTGATACAGAACCCCGGAGTATGTAACGGTTTTTGTTGTATATGATTATGCAATGACCTCACTATCATTCTTCTAAAAATAATCGGACAGCAACAAAAGATGATTGAAATATTTGCGCGTCGGGTCAAAGGTGGTACTGGTGGCGGCCTTTCTTAGAGTTTCAATATTGGATATCAAAATAACGGGTCCTAACGCTGCACCGAAATGTTAGGTGTCTGTGACGTGTAAGAAAAACTAAAGCGTCACCTGGGAAGCGTGTTTATCAATGTCTTGCCTAAAATGGTAGAAAGGCTACAGAAATGTGTTATTAAATTTAGTGATAAAGGTCTTTTTTTCTTTGAGGACAGATAATAACTATAAGTCAAAAATCCCTATTATTTTATTTGGCAATATTAATCTCTAATGTCGGCTTTTAGAACATTTTGGAAATCTAATGCATTTTCGGTGCGCAAAGAACCATGCATCAAAAAAAAGAACACACGCAATTTTTGATTGGACCAGTTATTTTTATTACATTTTGTGCACTGCGTAAACCTCTAGGTAAACTAGTTTTTACATTTACTTTATCTCTTTGCAATTTGGTATGACTTTTCTGCTTCACTGCAATCTAAATATCTAGTTCAAATCATAATTTTGGCCTATTTTTTCATAACATTTAATTTAACATTGTTTTACTTTAATAAGTTTAAAAAGTAATCCCCGTATGATACCATAAGCTACGTTTGCCATTAGGTCTAGACATTACCATTTGTAAGTAAGAAATAGAAACTCGATGATGTTTCCCATTACAATAAATTACACATACTTCAAATCTCTTTTTTCTTCTTCAAATCAAATTTGAATTAAAAGTGCATCATCTAACCTCAATGCGACGCATTAATTTCATTATCCCCACACATTAATTTCAATAATAACTACATTTTATTTAAGCTATTAAATATCACGCACAACCAGCAATAAATTAAGATGAAAAATCTAACACAGAAACAGCACATTAGGTATATCCACTCATAAATTTTCCGAATGGGCAGCAGGCTCGTTTCGTGAAAGGGTCGTAGGTTTTGACGCACCTGAATACCTCCTATTATAATCGCTTTGTTGGGAGCAAATGAGACCTCTCTATTCATCTGTCTGTACATATTTTCAGTCACCGTATATTGCGCCATGGTAATGATACGTCCAAAACGGTAGAGGCATAACCATGCCTGCCTTAATCAAAAACGGACAATGTTGCTGCTTGTTTGAGCTGAGTAGCGCCGTTGTTTGCATTTCACCAACACGATTTTCCTTGTATTACAATGCGCACAAAGAAACAATAACAACCGCTTGCTTCTAACTTTGAACGTAAGTTGCCGCAAAATAAACACGGTCGCAGCGTTCTGAATGAACATTTCATATTACTGTGGGGGGATTTAATGGAATAACCCCCATGAAAAGGGCCCTTGAGTGAAAATGTTAAACACAGCGTTTCGGTTTGTTTGACATTGGTTATAAATAAGGGTACCTTATTATGACAAATATTTTGATATTTTGAAAGGTTAGTGTACCATGTCATAACCCAGAAACATCAACGAGTGAGTATTGATACGAAGACTGGAGACGTGATAGAAAATACAGTGCAAACTTTGTCATACAACGCATGTGCCGCTTATTTAGTTGAGGCTGTTAGATGTTACGTCCATGATAACATAGCTTATGTGTGAAGGTATTTGTCACTAAAGATTTCTGCTTAATAAGTCATTGC